ATGCCACATCTGCTTTATATTCCAAAATATACACATTTTCATTCAAAAACGCAGTTGCTATTTAAAAAAATATACTAAAACATGTGACGGAATGACACAAAAAAAAGTTACTTTTATTTAATATATTAAACTTAAAATGACTTAAAGGCTATGTTTTAAATGTTTCAATTTTGTACTATATGCATACTTTTATTAAAATATTGCAAAAGAAAGATACATTTCTTTTATTTTATAAGTATTTTTCAAGAAAACAATTTGAGCACAAATGTGAAGAATTCACTTGTCAGCCATGTGATTACTTTAGAATGCTGCCAGATTCAAAGAACTTAAAATTATCAAAAATTAAACAGTGATATGTAGACTTTGGCTATTTTTGAACATATTTTTAAAATTAAAATATGCAATTCATAAAAAAAAAATTTCACTTAAAAGTTGATACTTTCGTGGAATTGTCCATTATGCTTGTAATAATGCTTTGTAACAATGTGCTTTATTGTTATCTAATTTGTAACTTTAGCAAAAAATAAATAGGTAAATAAATTGCTAAATAAATAACTAAATATGAATAACTTCTGAGTTAATGATCGCACTAAGATGGGATTGTAATGGTTTTATCAATAAACCATAACTATACTAATTTTCTAATTGTACTTGAAGATTCGAAAACAGGCTGAAAAACTTGCTTCTTGGAAATAAATATACACTATTTCTTGAAGAATTTGAACTTTCAACCCTCAAATTATGGGGCTAGCAGCAATGTGGAAAATATCCTAGTTTAAGTAGTTCAATCAAGCAGCTCTAAAAATAGTAACTTTCGTTTTTAAATCAGAAAACGTTTTATTTTTAAATATTATTTGCGTTAGTTAATTATCATAGAGTAAGGCCAACTTTTCGAAACACGAAACAAAATCAGAGTATATCAAATTAAATATTTATCAACTCTTAAGTGTTTTTTAGTGCAGAACTCTTGAAAAGAATGAAAATCAGGAAATAGTTTCATTCCTCTATGATTTCTAGTCAAAAAAATGCATTATATGGGTTTTATCATAGAAATGTTCCTTTTTTGTTGCTGTCAGAAACTAGTTTTATAATGCAAGTATTTAGTGATTAGATGAAAATGCAGCCTTTTTTAAAAATTCAGCTAGAATTTAAAAGTGAGAAGAAGAAATATCAATAATAAAAAATTAAAGAAGCTTCTTGATTTAAAAAATTTAATTGGTTTCAAAAATTTGCTTACGGAAATGAAAGTCGACATATTTTAAGCACTCAAAAATAGGTGCTCATTCTCAAAACTTGCCAGACCTGAAAGAGACTAAACAAAACTGGTTTGAAATATGAAGTGAAAAAAGTTGCCAATGAAGAAAGGAAAATAGAGTTAAAAAACGAAACTAAACCACAGTTGTCAGGAGTGAAGAAAAAAAAGAGGAGAAAACAGTATACGTAAAATCGCTGAGACAGAAATGGGCAAATTAATATAAAATGCAAAATGCTTTTCCACCCTCTATATAGATGTAGTGAAGAATTAAAATCTTTTCATAGGGAAATCAACATTCAATTGAATAAATCAAGATTCCAAGACATCAAGATAAGCTGATGTGACTGAGGTGGAAATAATTTATGCATTATCAAACTGAATTTATACTCATGATTCGAACAATGAGCAGCTGTTTTAACCCAACATTCTTTTGTTAATTTACCTTCCATTAATCTCAGCAAGATACAAAAAGAGGTCCTTAATTTAGGTTTAAATTATGCTGCCACTTCCAAATTTTCGGTTCCAAAATATTAATGAGCCGTTAGTAACAACATCTATGCTGAGCAAAGTTTCTCCTAGTCAAATTGATACTCTCCAACATTTAATTCCCAACACTATTTCCTAAACTAAATTCTAAATCTTATTAACCCTTATAAATGAGCTAATAGCTAATTTAATTATCATTTTGACATTTTCATTACCAAAGCAGATAAAGGTGAGCAGACTGTTATTTTGATTACTATAATCATGTTGAAGATATTCCGTTATCAAAAACTCGTTAAATCGTATGCTGCAGCACATTGTTTGAGTTTTGGGCATTTCGACAATGCTAAAATTATTTCTCTTCCAATGACATCAGCTCATCTTGATGCCCTGGAATCTTGTTTCATTCATATGACTGTCGATTCCTCTGTTAACGGCATAAATTTGCATAACGACATAACAAGTGGAAATGCATTTTGCCCTGGTTTGCTCTTCCCGGCAAGTGTAATTTTTCTTGTTCTTAAGTATTAGTTTTTGTTTTACTCTCCTCTAGTGCGATTTTACTAGTTTTGTTTTTCACCTATATTTTGAATTTTTCATAGGGAACATTACGTTTTACAATTTAGATTACTTTTGTTTCTTCTTATTCACGTCTTTCAAGTCTGGAGAATTGGCACCTATTTTTGGGCACTTGAAGAACCTCGATGTTTATTTTTCTGGATGTTTTTAAAGCCCATTAAGATTTTTTATTTAAGTTATGCCTCACCATTTGAGTCACTTGTTATTATTTATTTAACAAAAAGTGTGCTTTTTGTTTGAGTGTCTTTCCCTTATGAAGTCAGAACCATTTGTGCTACGTCATGCATTTTGGTCAGCAGCTCAAAGAGTCGTAGTTGTAGTTTATTTACGTCACACTAGAGCTGCATAATGGGCTATTGGCAACGGTCTGGGAAGCATCCCTGAGGATGATACGAAGACATGCTTTCACAATTTTGATCCTCTGCAGAGGCGATGGCACCCCGCTTCGGTAGCCCGACGATCCGTACACGAACTCGAGCACTTTACGATAGAACAGTTTCACGAGGTTCAATGCCGCACTTCCTCGGTCCCTATCCAGAATGATCCAAGAGGTCACCCACCCGCGCACTGACCCAGTTGAAAGAGTCAATATTAGACCCCGATCCAGAAAATTGCTAAAATAAATTTCCATTTGATAATTCAGGAGAGACATTTGAAAAATGTAATCTTCTCATTGGTTTAGAACTATCCACTGTTTCAAATTAAGTTATAAAAGTTTTATAATAGATCCCCGCAGCTTATACTATTACAACACCTCCTTAAAAATTGTTTTTGTTTTGATTATTCAAATCATGATATTTCTGAGAATCCCGATATTTTTTTTAGATATGACAGCAGCAGTGGTCTTTTAATGGATATCGTCACCAACACCAGCTATATGGCAAGTCCAGACAATACAAGCTTACCGGTGTACCATACATTTCAATCAGACCTTTTTGCCCGGAAATGGATTGCATGCTGCAGAGCAGCCTTGGAGTGCTGCCAAAAAATGCAATCTGATCCACTTCCTGTTGGAGGTATGAGCGATATCTCTAAATATTCAGTATTGCAAATAAACCTGATGACTGTACAAATATTTGTGACATTTTCAATGCTAAACTTTTAAAAAGAAGTATCTGACTTATTTTGAGTCCTTTTCAAATGGAATCGCATTTTACACCACAAAGTAATTATGAGGATTAATTTCCAGACAAAGTCGTACACGGCTTTGTCTGGAAATTAATCCTTAATCATAATAGTTCACTGAACCACGAAAGAGTGAGAGCGACAAACAATTAACGGTGGCTAATTAGCACTTCAAAATTAACAATAAGAAATTTAAGTTTAAAAAAGAACAATTGAAAAATTGAAAAGTAACAATAAAAATTCAACAAAAGACAAAAAACGCTTTTAATTATAGTCTAATCATTGAGACTTCATAATTGTTTTTGCTTTCCAATGTAACTTTGTAATCTCTCCAGTATATTAGCTTAGTACTTTTTGGTTAGACGAGAGCAAGGAAATTCAAAATTTTTTTTTTGTTTTACATTTTTTAGAGCGCCTATTTTAAATAAATAAATAAAAAATAAAAATAAATAAATTAAATAAATATATATATATATAAAAGAAAGTAATTGAATTTCATTGCACCAGGCTAACCGAAAAGTTCCGGAACTTCTATGTAGTCCTTGGCTGATCAAAGGATGACTTGATTTCACAGTGTCTGCTTTGCACACATTGGTAGAGAATACTCCTAATTTGAATAAATGTTTCCGCAAGAAGTCAATTCACAACTTAAAAATGAACTACTTTTTCTCTTTTCACAATTGTTTACTATATTTCTTATTTAAACTTTAGAAAGGTATCATAAGTATCAAATAATCATTTTAAAATATTTCATGGTTAATGATGTAGAAAATACTGTGCGGCCATCTGCATGATAGAGATCAAACTCATTGTAAGAGAACAAATACGAGACAAAATATTTTAAATAATTATTGCAGTTTCCTCTTCGTATCGAAAAAAGCTCACAACTTTACTTTTAACGAATATTTAATAGTCGCCTTTCTCGTGCATTTTGACTTTTCTCAAAGAATCTACTTAAAATCTCCATATCAGTACAAAACTCTAATATTCATGCATTCTCGCAGTATGAATTCCGTTACATTAGTCTAACATATGGCTTCATTAGTAGAGATTTTAAAATTTGTAATAAAGCTTTTTTTGTTCTTACGTTTTATAAAGCTTTTCGTTACTGATTATCATCTGTAAGACACAAAACGTAGCATTTGCGTTTCAGAAACACGAAGTTTAAGAAACTCGACTTGTGTTTGTTTTTAAAAATGTTTCTGAATTACAATCTTAAAAATAAATGAAATTATTTTCTTACATTTTAACTATATTATAATGAATTTGTGAACGGAGCAAACAATTCTGGTATAATTATCGTACTCTATTATAGTGATATTTCTGGTAAAAAATGGAACTATACTTCTGATTAATAAAACCATATTTTACGGTATTTAAACCATTTATTTTATAAGTTTTTCGCTCACATGGAAACTGTTAATCATAAATTCTTGTTTTCAAAATTCTAGTCCTTTTTAACACACATAAAGAAAAAATATAAAGCTGAAAATTGAATTTAAGGGAATAAATGGGTTTTATGTCAGGTTTTAAGGTACCTTGATAAGATTATCAAATTTTACCATACGTATAACATTTTATTGGGTTTTATGTCGGCTTTAAGGTACCATGATAAGATTAAAAGATTTTACCATATGTATAACATTTTTATCGGCTTTTATGTCGGCTTTAAGGTACCATGATAAGATTATCAAATTTTACCACACTTAAAAAATTTTTATCACATATTATAAAACCATATTTTTTGCTTACTTTTACCAAAATAATTACCTAAGAACTTCGGAAAAATTACCGATCATTATGGTGTTTTCTTAGAACCAAAAACACAGTTAATTTTATCATATTTTGGTAATCTTGATCATAATTTTTTTTCAAGTGTGGTTTTTCGACAATTTAATTACATTTTAATAAATGAAAGAAATGTAATATTTTTAGGTCATTGTAATATATACAAGGTTTATCGATAATTTAATTATATTACAACGATTGGAAAATTTTATGAAATCACATTTCAAATTAATAAAATTTGAGATGAAACAAAGTTTGGGATAAATGATGCCAAAGATTACTTAAAGTATTTATTCGTCCTAGAATATTAATTTAAAAAAATCTGGAAATTTTTGATTTTTTTTTAAATATAACATTTAGAACTGACAATTTAATAAAGTTTTAACAATGTACCATGCATACATTACACACAGAAATATACTTTACACACAGAAAATATTTCAAACAATCAAGTATAGAGTAATTCAGCATTTACAATAAATAATGAAATAGTTAAAAATAAATACCCAGGAAATGTGATAAGTTTATCAACACCTATTGTGTTGAAATTAATAGCACAATCTGTTAAACAAGTCTAAAATAAATATATATTATTGAAGCTTTAGTTAGCATTTCGTGTCTGCTCTTCATTAAAAAGTATAATAAAAAAATAATAATTACAAGAACAAGATATTGATTTGATTGGATAAAAAAAATGTTCTTCATAAATTTAAAAAAGGGGAGGATTTAACATGACATTTATTAATGCATTAATATAGAAAATCATTCGTTTTTCGAATGGAATAAAAAATACGTCATTAATAATACTCTGGAAATATATTTTAAGTGGTTCTTTTTATTAAAGTTAAATTGCAAAATATCTTTCTGATCAAGCATAATTTGATGAGGATTTGTGTCATCTATTTATACATAATGGATCTTTTTGTTATAATTGAAGCATTTTCTTAACATTATGAGCTTAAAAAACAGCTTATAGAATTTTTTATTAACAGCTTATAGAATTCTGGCTGCATCGATGTATGAACAATTGATTACAAAAAGTAAAAAAAATTAATTAATATTTTAAGCATAGTTTAAGAAAAAATATTTTATTCTTTATTTTATGCTTATAATTCAAGGCATTTATCAAATGTAAATGATACGATTCCAAATAAATTTTTAAAAAATGAATCTGGAGTCATTACGAATTAGTAATTTTATGTATTTTGATAGTACAAAATAACAGCTGATATGAAGTGTGAGAAAAAAGTGAAATATAATGAGTGATTATTAATATCTGAAAGTGCTAAATAAAAATCAATTTGAGCGTGATTTAAAAAAATGCTTTCTGTAAATTTATTACATTTCGCCTATTCCATCATATGTCCCGTGCATATTTATTTATCTTGTGTATGCTCGGGAAGATTCATTTATGAATTAGCGGCGACACGTATACACAACGAGTTAAAATATGTTTCTCTTTTATTTTTTTCACACATGAGTTCTCCTGTAACAAAATTCAATATGAACAAACCCATATTTTTTTCCGAAGTAAGAGAACCTTTTTTATGCTGGAGTTTAACAAATTGAAAAACCTAGCAAAACACAACCTAGATTTTTAAGTCAAAATAAAGGATTTTTTTACGTTTAGCACTTTTTCATCCATCTCATATATTTTTCTTGCATTTTATTCAATTCAGAAAAGCATATTCCAGGATTTACAATGCCAAACCCACATTTTTTAAAAGTAAAAACAACTTGTCCAGTCTCCTTGAGGTACTCCTTAAGTACTTCCAAGAATTTTTTAATCTAATTGAAAATTACTTATATTACAACTTCTAATTTGTTGGCATGTGTTTTTCTTCTCCATTAATGGAAATCTTAAAGTATATCTTAAAAGATTATAAAGTTCTCTAAAACAACATTTTTTTGTTGTTGTTGATGTCGAAAATGTTAAGAAAATTTTTCCTCTCAATTCACCGTTCCTCAGTGCGATGACTCACTAATAGTTTCAGATATTTACCGATTCCTTAATTTGCCTTTTTTGTCTTCCTTTTTCTGAATATTTTTATATTCATGAACTAAGTAATAAATCATTAATACATTTTGAAGCTAATGAATTTCTTAAGTTATCAGGTTTACTATACAAAGGTTTTAAGAACTAACAAAATATAATAAACTTAAGCTCTAAGAATTAATATAGTTTATTATACATAGTTTAAATATCAAGACAACATATTATGCATAGAATTTAAGTATAAAGAAAATATATTATAAAAATTATACATGATTATTGAACATCACATAATTATAGATCGCTTTGTTTCACTATTTTGCAGTAATTTAAAAAAAAAATTGTTCGATATTTATAATTACACTTCTGTAAATTACTACTTTTACAGTATTTTTACGTTTTTCAATTATTATTTATTAATACATTATTTAACATTATTTTGACCAGGGTTCGCCAAGTGGGTCCACTTTGAAAAAACCCACTTGGAATGATAAGTGGGTTTTTTCAAAAAAAAAAATTTTTTTTTTACTAAAACTTATTGTTTTGCATTTACTTTTATGTAATTTATTGTGCAGTATAAATTTGTCAAATAGAGTTGCATGATTTATGTGATTAAGTTTTTAATATTAGTAAAGTAAAAGAATCTTCATATAATTTTATAGTAGGCACTATTGAAAACTTCAAGTGGGTTTTTTCAAAAAGCAATATTTTAATGATATTAAACCAAATAAATATTTAAATAATATAGTCTGAAAAAATCAATTTTTCAAATATAGTTGCATGCTTTATATATTAATAAACAGGTTATTATTATTAATTCATATGTTTAAAAAAATTGAAATGATTTTTTTTTCTTTTTTTACCAAGTGATACATTAAGAAATTTAAACAGTTTTATTTCCTGGTTATTTTAAAAAGAAGGCTAAAAATTTTTATAAGAAAATTTTTTAAAATTATTTATCTAAAAATGAAATTTTTTTCCTAGGGTTAATTCTTTAAAAACAAATGGGACAAGTAACTGATACTCCTTATAATTATACGTAGTTTTAATTTCACTTTCTATTAATTTTATTATAAAAACATGTAAGACTATTAAATATTTATTTCAGTT